GCATTGCGTATTATATGTAACTCGCCTCGCCTCTTCTCTCCCTGCTCGCTTTCCCCGCGATCGTCATTAAACCAACTGCTTGAGACAACTGGCGCTGATTATTTAGCAATACAAATCATTCTCCGAGTGCGTACCACCCCTCCCCCTCCTCTCCCCCTCTCTCCTTCTCTTTCTCTCTCTCATTCTTCGTCTTTCTCATTTTGTTAAACGAGTTCTCGCGTGCGCGGGCGTGGTACTGCACGTACTACTTATGCGAAAGGCGAATAAAACACACATACACATACAAGAGCACATACACGGTTCTCTCGAGCGGCATGTGCATCAGATACCAGACGGTAGAAACAGTTTTGTTGATTAGCAGGCTCGTTCGAACCAGCCGTATTACTTTGTCGCATCGCCAAGGAATGTTCTCACCGGCAAGCTATAAGTATCCCACGTCGTAAAATGTTGATGTATCGTGCGAAAATACGATAGATTTTAAAAGATAACTAATAGAATGTACAAATGAATTCTGAGCAAATTTTAAATTTTGCATTAATTTCTTTACTCATTGACGCGTACAATCCGCAAAAGTTTGTACTCTTTAAAATCTTTGGAGTGGAATCCAATTCTAAAGAGTGAAATCTCACTTTTAATTATAAAAAATTGATTTAAAAATTGATGAAATTAAGCCTCTTTTTCAAAACTAACTCTTTAGAATTAGATTCCACTCTAAAGATTTTAAAGAGTAATGACTCGATTCAATTGAGAATTCTTTAAAGATATTTCTATTCCACTTTGAATCCTTTCAATGAAAAGAACAAAGAAAAAAAACGAGAATCATAAAAATGATAACGCGCGACATATAAATCCGTATCCGCTCGTATTTCTCGGCTTGCTCATCTTGTGATAAAATATTTCCGAGGGAGCTATCGATTACACCGTTCCGGAATCCCTCGTGGCTGCCGTACGCAATTAATAAATATCGCCTGGTACAATTTACGCGTTACATCGTTAATCACGCGCGCGCGTTCGCGCTCGGATATCGCCGATACTGCCTGTTTTCCGGACGAGGCAGGTGGAGAATCGATAACAGAGATGCATTAGAATATTATGACCTTTCAAAGTGCATTCGGTGATTCACCGCGGGAGCTGCGATAGCGCGTTATCGCCGCGACTACTCGCGGCGCGGGTCGATGTTATCGCACCGCTATACTCTCGGCTAATCGAGACAAGCGAGAAGGGGAGAAAAGGAAGAAGCAGGGTGCTGACCTCGCTTCCTGAATCGTTCAGGGCGGTGGCATCTCTCCGAGGAGGCTCGACGAATGCGGAAAGCGCTGTGCAGGTACTTCGTGATTGCGCCAGTATTCGTGCAATCAAATCAACTAGATAATCTTTGATTTCTGCCGACAAACGTCAGCTCGTTAAGCTATTCTTCATCGTCATGTATTATTCGAATTCAAAAACAACTACGATACGTGCCAGACACGATCTATATTTTCACATTTAAATTTCACATATTATCTATGTATGTAATTAATTAATTCTAGTTTACGTTTTTATTAGATCTGTTTTAAATTCAAGTGGCAATATAGAAAGCCTATTTTATAATTCTATTTCGACTCCAACATGATAAAACATTATTCATTTTTAATAAGTTTCGAAATAAAATTGTAACAAACAATCTTAATTGGATCTCACTAATCTTCAGATCAAAGATAAAAACTGTACTCAATTCTATTTTCTGCAAAGTGAGAAAAAATTATACATTATACATTATAACGAAACGATGAAATTTGTACGGATCTAGATTTCAATGCAGCACCATTTTATATCGAGAACCTGGGAAGTCACGTATTTAAATTATAATCCAGAGCGAAGGAGTATTAATCTTAATAATGATCAAATCTCGCAATACATAATTTTCGCGCTGTTACATTTTTCGCGTCACGTAATTCGTACATTCCTCTTTCTTTTTCTCATTTTCTTTTATAAAACACCTTAAGCATGAACGAGAAAATTGCGCGAATAGGTCAAAGTAACCGCTGCGTTGGATCGTGATTTGAAGTAATCTCGGTACGGATCGGCTGATACCGCAACCGGATGCTATCGTGTCGCCGACTCTCCGCGCGTTCAGCAAAAATCCGCGCGCCTCAATGTCATTATCCCAAACGAGATAACGCCGCATCACCCCCCGACTGGTGAGTCTCCACCGGCATACAGGGGCGAATGCTTCCATCGGTAGGCGAGGTATGCGGTCTTACGCTGCGCGTGTAAGCGCACTCGCGAACGCGTGCACTCGCGAAGAGCCGCATTATCGTAGGATTACGTAAGCGGTATACGATCGTGCTTGTATTACGCTATAATTAGGATCGGCTGGCCGACCATCGTAACGAGTATAGATACACACAGATATACACGGGCACGCGTACATACGAGTATGAGTGCGACGTTACTTACGGCGCATAATCCGCGCCGTATTAATAACCGACGATAAACGTTAACGTGCATCGCAGTCCGAGTCTCTCCCAGGACTCGAGAAGAGGAACTTAAACTGTCGCGGCGCGGATGCCGCTGCCGAGGATGGATCTCGATAGCGCGGGATTAGAGAACGCTTTTTGAAGGGAGAGATCACATAGAGCACGCTTTCCGTTTGCGTTATCAAAACACGGCTTGGTCTCCCACGACGAGCCGGCCGCACGATCGAAATATTTGAAATTCTGCGCGAAGTTCATAGCTTTTATATCGTTGCCGTGAACTGTTGGACTCTAAAACGATTCGGATATTAAAGCGAGCAGCCGCGATTGCTTGCTGCAGGTTGCGGCATTTTTTTTTCTAAATGTCCGCGTAATCGTCCGACATTAAGAAAAGCAAACTGGTTTTGCGTGTTTCCATCGAACGAACGTTTGACCGGCGCACGACTTACTTATCTTTAGCCTCGATCTTGCAAGCAAGCTGAAAAATCGCGGAAAGGTATATACTATGTAAGCGCATGTGGGAGATACATTGCATTGTACGTTGATGTTCGAATATAGTTCTGCAGATATGAAGTCTCGTTGATCAATGTCTTACGAATAATGATAATTTTTCTGAAAAAGACATTTTTCATGGACACAAATTGTTGCTGATTATTATACTGAAAAAAATTTCTTATTGAAAATTGACGAATCAGAATTTTCTGGTCAAATTTAGAATTCTAATTGAAATAATCGGAATTCCAGATGATACAATATTTCTGGTAAAATCTATTGGAATTCTTATTTATCAGAATAATTATATCAGAATTCTAATTATCTCAACTAGAATTTTAGTAGATCATTCTAATTCGTCCATTTTCCGATCAGAATTACTTATTTTTCCAAGTGTAAATATGCATTAATTAAATGATTTAAAATACATCGATAAATATTAAAACTTGTTAAATAATTAAAAATTTTAATTAATTTAAAATTTAATTAGTTTAAGATCTTTTACTTTGTAAAAAATATTTTTAATTCTTTTTGCGCGAACATTAAAATTAAAAAGTAAGTGTAAAAACGGCGGTTATTGCTATGTCTCGTAATTCCTGATTAAGCGCTGCTAAATGAATACGCTTACTAAATTAGTGATTACGAGTAGACGCGGCGGCGCAGACGAAAATCAAGATCTCGCCGTGCTCATTCCCGACGTGCGTTTGATTAATACCCAGATGTAATTACGCACTGCTTCGGGGGAAGGACGGATGCGAGAGAAGAGGGCAACCTTCTTCACGTTGTGCGTACCTCTCGTCGGACTATGTGGGAGGAAGGTGAGAACAGAGATGAAACACTTTGTAGGAAGCAAGAGAAGATGGAACCAGAGAAAAGAAATGAGAAGAAAAGACGAAAAGACGAGAGAAAGGGAGACAGCAGAGAAGCTCCGTCGAGCTGCCGACGAAACGAAATCCTGACAGATTTCATCGTGGGCTGACGTAAACAATTTGCGAATGTAAATACCTGTTGAATATTGAGCGTGCTGGCAGGGCCCACGGGGCCCCACGCCGGGGCCCCCAACACCTTGCGATCGTTTACCCTTTAAACTCGTGATTACCATCCAGCATCGTCTCCCACCTACCGCGGCGAGGCGTGTAAGTCATCGGCATAAATTATACGTGAACATCGCGCGGCGATGCTGGGGATCCTCCTCGCCACTTCGTCGAGAAGGAGGTATTCTTCGGCTCTAACCGTCTGGATTCGCGCGTGTAAAGAGTCACAAAGTAGAAAATGATCGAGACATCCTTGACATGCGCGGGATCGCTCTTAAAAAAAAAAAAATCAATGAATCGATGCTAATATTTCACACGTTCACAAGAATTAAAAGCTTCTTTCATTATCAACGCGACACGAGTCTTAGCTGATAGTTAAGTGAATTAAAGGCTGATACGAATTTAATTCAATAAATGAAAAGGCTGATTAAATTACAAAATTGCAATCTCCTGCGGTATTATCGCCTATCCAATTAACATTTGTACGTTAATATCGAAGATGTGCACTTTAGATCGTTTATCGCTTTATGGATTTAGGGCAATAAAACTCGGTGGCTCGTGTAGCATCTCGCCCGATTAATAAGTTCGTAGGGGCGCGACGCTTATCAACTTATCAACGATTAAATCAGTCAGATGATTCCACATCGTGGCTTCGGAACATGGAGGCAGCGGGTAAGAACGTGTGTCGAGATAATTGGTGATCTCTCGATCGATCTCGATGCTGATAAGCGGCAACCGACATTTCAGATAACTTTCTCGCTTCCACTGCATTTAATTATCATCATCGATTATAACGGGAACGCAGTGCGTATCGCTAACGGTTCGTGATAAACGCTTATCCAAACGCTACGCAATGCTCGTTCGTGTATTTTCCGCGCGCGTGACTTTTCTGCGATCATTCCCGCGTGCGTACGGCCTAATCCCAGTACTGTGTCAAGGGAAACGTCTCCGCACGTCATAAAACTGGATCACCCGTCGTGTAAGATTGTAACTGTATGAGAAACAAAAGCTCACTCACCATCCTGGTTCATTCCGTGGCCACCATCATCTATTTGAAACAGAAAAAGAAAATTAAGATGTAAATTGAAATCTCGAGAGATGTAATCGAGATTAGTATTAAATCATGTGTATATTTAAAGAAACAATGCAAAAAATGGCATTTATTTGTTTGCGCTTGTGTTGTTTGATCGCGTGTTAATTGAAACGTTACAACTTGTAATCATGTGTCGTTCTCTGAATTGTAATTAGTGTTCTCAACGAAGCAGTACTTCTAGAGAGCAAAAGTAATAAAGTATATTCTAATACAAAGTAAGGAGACACTAATAACATTCCTGAACTTTATTTGAAAATATAATGTACTATGCATACCGTCAATAAATATATATATATGAATAACATTGCGTAATGTTGCAAGAATTTTTTTCATTTCCGACACATCTAAGAATATAAATTTATCAAAAACGGAAGCCTTGCAGTACATCCAGCAACTTCTCCGATAGGATATCACGAGAAAGCAGACGAATGCACCTCGCGAAGATTCAACATCACACATTGCTGCGGATCATGACGATTCGCAACGCGCCAGCGATAGCAACCTGTACGGCAACCTATTTGTACTACGGACTTGGTATCGCGCGATCGCGCAGTGTTCCTTTATTTAACCCCATAAATAACCACTGCTATCTCACCCCGAATGTTCTTCTATAGGCAACGGACAACAACGTATACGTGTGCATACAGTAAAACGCATTTCGCACACGGTGCGAAATATATTAGATGCTGCCAGTCATTCTGGTGTTGCGCGAGTCTGCCGCGATGGGAATCCCCATAAGCGATTCGTGCGTCCATCCAGCGGAAAGAATAACTTTTGCGAGGAGATTAAAGCATGGTATGTGTTACTCGTTCGATAATGGCTCGCACGTTTAATCCCCCTTCAAGATACATGACTTCAAACAGTTTAAACTACATTGGAAAAAAATTATTAAACTAAATCTTAGTACATATTTCTTTGAATAGTATTGAGCAAACATTTACTTATAGTAAATAAGTATTTACCCAATAAAAAAATGATAATTAATTAATGATTCTTGTATCGAATAATATAAATATGTTTACATTTAAATATTTACTTGGCATTATTTAAATAAATATTTATTAAAATTTAGTATTTTAATAAATATTTATTAAAATTTAGTATTTTTTTTAGTATATAATATTTTTTTCTAATACATCAGTTTTCTAATACATCAGTTTGCTATTATGCATTTGTTTATATTTTATCTACGATACGAGATGCACAATATGAATAATTGATGCGATGGAAAGAGCTGCATATGCAAATAATTACAAATATATTCCGTGAGAAACGTAGGCAGTAATTAACAGCCATATTATTTCTTGTAACATTGCATTCTTGAATATCACCGTATCGTATTTTCATATTCGTATATTAATATATACGAATATTGCTAAATAAATCGCTTGGCGCACCAAGTAGTCAAACATACCGAGCGACCCGCACGTCTTACGCAATGTGTCCAGATTGACGTCTAATATATCGGAGAAAGGCATAAGTTTTGGTAGATTTTTTTTTACGAGATAATTCAGAGAAAATGAAATGTTCGCTAAATTCAGACGGTTGGAACCTTTCACGCCCAGTTTTACTTTTAGATAACCACTTTCTTTTCGTAGCAGTTCTGAAAAAAACCATCTCATTACGCTCTCCGCGGTATCGTTATACAGCCGACAGTAAATCTGAGACTTTTCGATTATCGAATAACGGACAATCCGGGTATAAATGAAACAGCGATTAGTCACGACTGCGAAATCGAAACAAAACGGACCGGATGGACCGATCTCTCGCGATGAAAGGTGTACGAAATAATTATTACGTCGTAAGGTCAATAAACCATATAATTCACTATGGTTCGCATTGCGTGTTCTATACATGACACGCACGCAGGTGGCTATTAATTACAAATTAATTCCATTGCGTGGTTACGCACCATTAGAGATAATCGAAATCCGTTATGCATTGCTTAGCGATTGCTTTAGCGACGCATAATTTCAAAGGTGCAATTAAAAGTAAATTTGTTCTGCAAGCAACGAGAATCAGAAGTAGAGACTACAAACACGAGAGTTATATGCAGAAACTTAATATTGTTCGCTATAGTTCATTAATATGAAATAATGATGTACGTATGAGAGTTGGATACGCGTGTGGCCCTAAAATTGATCCGCGGATCTCTCTTTATCAAATACGTTGATATCATTAGATTTAACGATCCCTGTTGACTCTCTCTTTCTCTTCTTCCCTTTCTTTCTTTCCTGGTCTCGTGGCTCATGCCGCGTCACTGGCTGCTGCCACGGCGGCTGCCTTTCATCTTCCTTAACCAGCGCCACTCTCTACCATCATGCACACATTCATTTATGAAGACGAGAAGAACGAAGGAAGACAACGAGCTTCTACATCAACGCAACCAACCGTTGGCTGGAAGACACTACCGCTTCGAAGATGATCCTGCACGTGCACGCATGGATACATTAGGATCATAAGCTTGTATGTATTCAAAAATATATCTATGTGACGATCGCCCACCAAAGAAGAAACTATCGTTTCTAAAATAATCCTGCCGTGTCTGTGTCAGGCGCGTATGTACCTGTGTATCTGGAAAGATCTCTGCGCGATGCACCGAGCAAGTTCAGCTAACTCGATTGTTCCGTACGAAACAAGGAGCTCTTTCACGTGAGAGTCTCGTTCCGGCGGTCTTTGATGGAGAAATCATCGTTTGCAATGTCTTCCAGTACGTAATATCACTCCATCGGATGTATGGATTTAATCCGTCGGCGGTATAGGATTTAATAAGCTTGCGGTTTATAGCGAAATAATGATGACAAACAGTAGGAAGCCAACGGGAGCGGGAATAGATTTTTGAATATTTAATGCTTTCAAGTGCAATTCGCAACTTCGAGAATATTAATGATTTAGAAATTAATAGATTTAATAGAAACAATTAGAAATTAAAAGATTTAATAGAAATAATTCTAACATCAAGTACGATAGAGAAACGTGTCAAAGTTAGATGTTTCGAATAATATATTCTTTATTAAATCAATTTATTTCATATATGATTGCGCGCCGAATTTATAACTTTCGGATTATCAATACAATTAGGAAACGCTAATAATCTCCCCTAAATTAAATTTAAAAACCTATAAAGAATTTATTGCGAAAAATATTATCTCAGCCAGAATTCGAAATAATTATATTTTTTATTAAAATACAGATTTTAGTGCTTAATAATATTAAATGCAAATTTTTGCAAATATATTCTTTCATTTTATAAACTGCTAAGACAATATTTTCCGCAATAAATTATTTACAGATGTTTAAGATGCTTATTAGCATCACATGAATGAACGATCAAATTTGTGAATCTAGATTAAGATATTAATTTAGTTTGTGCGATTCAAGTCCGACTAACTATATTGGCGCGCAGTTTATATATCCATTTTGACTGAAAATAGGATATTATTTCTTTTAATTGATTTGTTCTCATCGGCCTAATTTCGATATGTATAATTAATGCTCATGTATAGAATTCGCGAGCAATTTACGGATTTCTCCTAAGAGATGTCAAAATAAATACGCCTATTTCAAACGATAAATATAATTACGAAATAATTAATATGATCTAGATGAAATTATCATCACAATTTAAAATGTCCAGCAAACTTCGTGTTTTTGAAATCCATTTGATTGATCAGATCTCTCATCGTAAGGCACATGCGCGTGATGTCGAGAATTTTGCGCGATTGCGAGAGAGCCGGAAAGCGCATTCGACGGATTCCAGAATTCCAACTTGACTCAGCGAACGTGATGCATCGTCATCGCGTGCGCATAAGTCGCCAGTAATAGAAGCGTCGCCGCTCGCGGACGAAGATTTATCGCCGGTATTTCGCGAGGCACGTGCCTGCACTTTTTTACGACTGTACGACATTCCTATCAGCTGTGCACTGTGTACGACATTCCTATCAGCTGTGCTCGCATTTAAGCCACACCATTCGCTCGCTAAACGTCGATTGACGCGTTGTCTTGTTCTTGATGTCAGGGTAATCATTGAGCGCGATATCGAAAGGCAGACTAATTATTGGTTAGTATATCGCGTATATCGAGCTAGTCAAGAATTTATCTGATACTGGTTGATAATACGAAAAGAATAACGGTTGCAGTAACATTTTACGTTAATCATTACGTTGGATAATAAAAAGTTATAACTATTAATAAATGTTAATTATCACAAGAACTGATCATATTACTTTATTATTTATTGTGAAAAGGATACTTTTTTAAGATCAAAAAGAATTGTCTATTATTACCAACTTCTTGTGATAATCATCTTAGCATTTTACGTAATAAACAAAATGGATTCGTAAGAAGAAACATACGTTTTTTCTTGGAGTCCTCATGCATACCTCCGGGTGTCGCAGCGCCGTGATTATGATGATGAAGGGCTAGAGGGTCCTGGGGATGCGGGTGAATGGCGGCTAAGGCACTTCCGGCTGGGTCACCCGGATTGACCCCGACTCCGACCCCCAGGTGTAGAGCACCATGCTGCGTCGCGTGTGCCGGAAGCTCCATGCTGATCATAGCACGCCACCCTTCTTCCAACCCTCTCCTCCCGCCACCCTCCTCTATCTCGGACAACACCTCGCCGAGTTGGACGAGGCGTCCGTTCAACTCCTCGTCGCCTTCTAAAAAGAAATAAAAATTCGATAACCTGAAAAAAATATTTAATTTTCTCTATAAAATAAACTCAGTTAAAATGGCCATAGGATTTCAAAATTACTACAAAAATGCTCTATTTTAGCAATTATTAGAGAAATTACAATCTATGGTCATCTATCCTTTAAAGCCATAATAGTCAAGTTTATTATCCTAAAGAAAAATTTAAAACTCTTGAGTAATTCGTCGTGATCATCATTGCGCAAATGAAGTTAGGAATGTGCAATTTTCGAAATTGTGCATCGCAACTGCGATTTTCCTTAAAAATCAAAAGTAAATGCATATATTTGTTCAACTACCTATTTCTGTTGCATTAAAAATCTTTGGTAAGTTCAGAGCAGCGACAGCTGAATAATAAAAAATATTAATTGATAGAACGCAGCAAATACAAAAACGTTTGTTTTTCTTTTAGTGTAATAGCATTGAAAAATCCGTAATAAAATTCGGAATACATACGTTTTCAAAGAAAAAAATCCTTTATGAAAATTATATCGATTTCTTATTGTACGTTAGTCGAACTGTTTGCAGCAAGACGTAAAAGAATTAAAGAACAAGTATAGAATATTAATTGTAAATTAATTGTAAATTAATTGTAATTGATTTTAAATTATATGCGATTTCGCGATTAAAAGGTCAACAGATTCAAGAACAAAAAAATCCCGACGCTTGCGATATATCGCAAAATCGTACTGTAAATGGAATCTGTGCCTTCAAGTTTCCGCTGAGCAACGAGTACGGATTTTTCGGTCAGTGACTCGTGGTCGAATCAATGGTGCAAGAATACCGTAGACAAAGTCTCAAGCTGATCTAGGCGTAGACTTCTACCGCGGATCGGCGAGAGAGCCCCACGCGGCAGGCGGGATCACAAAAATAAGTCTCGGTGGTCCAACCGCGGTGGAATTGCCTTTGCCACGCTTTTTACGCGCGGAGTAGATAATTTCTTCGTTCCTTTCTACGTAATGGCCTGGCCGGGTGATCTTTTTTGCTTATTACGTCGAGAGGAGGCCGCCGCAGAGAGCGAACGACACACCAACGACGGCTAGGTTGGAAGACTATACAGGAGGCAAGGTGAGACCTCTCGGATGAATGAAAGGATGAATGGAGCATAATTTCGTCCACACTGTCGGCGACGTTTACCTATTGGCCCGTTCTTCCATTTCGGCGACGGTGAGCGTATTGTCTAGATTCGGACAGCTTCTCGCGACGCGCGTTGCAGCTGCTATGGTAAAAAAAATGAAGAGTATATCGTTGGCCAACTGCGAGTTGGAAACGCAAGCCTCTGTCTTAGATTACAGTGATCTATTTGTCAAACTCTTTTATCAAGATATTCAGCAATATTTCCTCTGTCGTAAAATGCACGATCACCTGCTAAATTTTATAGTGGCTATCATTAATCACGGTGATATCTCTATTTCGACGATATAAAAGTCGTGCGTTATAAGAGAGTGAAGCGATGTATAAGTCGAGATATTCGCACTCGACTCGATAGCGTATATCTATGTTATCTCCGCTGCATTCCGCGAATACATAATGTAAGCGTTCGGTAAAAAAATGTCAATATAGCTTCTTCCTGTTCTCGCGGACGTCCATTACATTGCCTTGCAAGGGGAAAGAGACTTTGAGAGTCGGTAGCAACCGTCAGATATACCAATCGTCATCGGGCGGCCATCCGTGAAATTTGAAACTGCTCCCGCGTTCCGCCGTTTTACATCGCGAAACACGCGGATCTCATAATGCGTGGGAGTGAGACTGGGAACGGTTATCGTCTGCGGTCAACGACTGTCCAGCGCGCAGCAAGCGTACCGTCTTTGTATTCTCGACGATTAAAATCTCGACAGGTTCTAATTTGCTTAAGGAAGTCGGTCGTATTCGAAACGTGAATCTCTTCTAAGGGAAAGTCGTTGCGTTCTGCTATATATAAAATAATAGATTTGCAGTTTTTGAAAATTAATGTAACTTATACAATGTGTAAATTGTACACAAAAGGGTAAATCTACAAAGCGTGTGAAAATAAGTATGTCTATCTTATTTGCACCAGATTCCGCGAAAATGCTCAACAATTTACTCCTCGAGGTATCACTTCGCGGAGTTTCAATCTAGCTAAATCATACGCCACTTTAATTCCAATAGTGAGAGCTTGAAGTGTCAATTTTAACTCGACAAAAAAGTGAAACGGATCTGCAGGAGGAAAACGTTAAAATTGCGTTCTCAATTTCCCAACCGTAACATTTTCCCGTAACAAGAAAGACCAGAACGAGGATCCGTTTTCTATTTACATCGACGTTCAGATTATCGGCAATGGGAACGCGAGGGATGATTGTTTAACGTCGTAGTTTCCTAGCGAAGTCCGCTCTTCTCTTGCGGACTCGTGCTACCAGCGTGCAGAGCTCTCCCTAATGGAGGATGGAATGTAGCGAGGCTACACCGTGGCGAGTAAACGTCGGTTAAGAGAAGGCAGACGATGATCGTTTGGCTAGAGGGTGGCGGTGAAACGGTCAGCGACTTAGGCCATGAACGACCTTAAGTAAAGTAAAGTGGGTGAGTTGTAGACGGCCAAAGTACGCGTAAAGACTAGCCTTAGAAAGAGAGACTTATCCCTATAAACCGTGGGAGTCGGCCACCAGCGCTTCTCCAACCGACCTGCACGGCATATACGCACTCGCTAAAACCATTGTTTACGGCCCCTCTGAACGCCCGCGTACTTTACTAACGAGGCCCTCTCATGAGGCCCCGCAATGGAACTGAACCAACGCGCCGGCTACTCTGTATGTCTTAAGGACGAAGGTTACTGTCGGATGTAGAAAACGCTGCGCTGCACCATCCTGAAAACTATTCGTAGCTGGAACCCAGAACGAACCTGCGTTTGCATACGCGATCGGTATGCATCTCGCGTGTGGTCGCCAATATAAATAACTGACCATCGATCTGTTTCTTCAAACAGAAGAAACTCTCTTTCAATTAGAGCATCAGTGAGTGGTTGGTTAAAGAAATATCATTAAATAATTCAGTTTAATCAAATAGCTTTCTTCTTCGATTAAATACTATCTTGATATTAACAATAGCTAATTATTTTTTATGTATCTCGCTTTCACTTGAGAGACTTTGCAATCGATAAAACCGCATCGAATGACCATGTTGAAATAACTTACTAAAACATTCAATTCGCCAGATGTCCTTTCGATTATTCAAAGAGGAGAAACTAAAAGACGATCCATGTGGCACTGAAAGAATTTGAATAATTACCAAATATTGAGTAAAATAATTCTGATCGAATATTCGATTAATATAAAGTAATTTTAGTTTTCTAAAATATTTAGTAAGTACATTACCAAATATATAGCTAATCATTTGGTAATACTTACCAAATATTTAGGGAAATAAAATTACTTTTGATTATATTATTATAATCAAATATTTGATTGGAATTATTTCACTCAACATTTGGTAGCTGTTACCAAACTCTTTTTCAGTGTAAATCTCTTACATAAACAGTAATAGTTCGAGGCCGGCTGACAGTTAATCGTCTAGTCGAAGGAGCTCATGCTGACGAAACGTGCACCTTCTATCTCTACTCTTCTGCCTTCGCTTCAGCGTCGATATCCCAACTGGTTGGTAATGGCGGTGCTCTCGAGACTTAACAACGCGTGACAATATGCATCAAGGAATTGCTCGAGCGCGGAACAACTCCAGTCCTTTCTCTCTGTCTTTCTTTCTTTCTTTCTCTCTCGGTTTCCGTAAAGTGAAGTCTACACCTACGAAGAACAGGCGTAGGTGCGTATATTCTCCACCGTGTGCGCGCTCTTCATGACGGGACAGCTACGTGAGAGAAGCTGCGAAACGCGCTCGGCTTCGAACTCTCACAGATAAAAACATCGATACATTATGCAACTCCTCGGTTCATAAACGAACACTACCACCAGGAATCCATGGCGGAATCCTGGGAAGCTCTTCTAGTGGCGTATATCGGCTATCCTGTTGAGAGAAGCAATCTAGTTTTCGCGGGACGGCCGGCGCCTCGATCACCGCCCATCATGTTTATTAATCTGATCTGGGATTGCGGTGCGGAATGCCGACAATCTTGACGATTTTCTCCACAATCTGCGAGAACGATTCGCAGATTTTTGCACTTCCGTGTTAACGCGCGGGTCGCATTCTTTCTCACGATAAAATTTAATGATAAGATGCGAATTTAATAGACAACGATGGAAGAATGATCAGTTTGGCTTCTTCTTCCTTTACCTATGAGAAAAGATAAAATGTATCGGTTAGCCATCTTGCAGATTTTGTACCACCTTGTACGGTGAATATCTTTAAATATTCACGCCAAAGTCTACTCTAGTCTACCATGTTCGATCAAGCTTTCAAGCGACAAGAAGGTCTCTCTCTCTTTCTTTCTTTCTTTCTCATTCATTAACCCCATTATCCGTACTTGGCCACCACATAAGTGCACACGTTGTACCAGCTCACCAGCAAATCGCAAACGCATATATCTACATTAATAGTGGTATACGAGTATGCCTCGTAGTCAGTCGTCTGTACGCCTACGTAATCATTATTATTGCCGCACGATCATCAATAACAACACAAATATTTATCTGATTAATTTTGCGAAACGCAACGCAGTAAAATCAACTATTTTATTTCGCAACTATTTTTATTCGAAAAAATATCGCATTCACGATCATTAATTTTTTTTAAGGAGATCCTAAAGTCGTCTGTTTTATCAATTGAATAATTTTCAGTAGAACAATATCACAAATATTACTTTTACAAATTTGGAAATCCTTACTCCAGAATTAAAGTGTACGCATTAATACATGTTTGCAGCTTGAAATTTATGCCGAGAATGATAAACATTTTTGAAA